ACTGTTGGGGGTGCAAGCACCTACACATGGTTCATAAGATAAAGCCGGAGATTGCAAATAGGAATCGATAGCGTCAAAAACATTCTGCCCTGTTGTGGTCTTTCTGAGTTCTTTTCAACAGAAGAATTGCTCTAGTATTTTTCCATAGTCATAAAACAGGTGGAAATGAAGATCCAGAGATTTCTGAGGGGGGCCTTGAGTTAGCTGAGAACGACACGCTTAAGCAAACAGGCTATTAACTGCTCCCGTAATAGTAAAACCCCCCACAAACCTCTCCTTCTGCCTGAAGAGGGGTACGTGTGCCTGAAAGCTTGCAAAGCACAATTTTTCCGACTATTTAGTTGAGCTAAGAAAAGATATCCCATCTCCCAAGAACCTGCCCCTAATGGCAAGGCATGGTCACAGCATGTGTTGAGTGCAGCAATCTCAGGAGAGCTGGTCATCTCTCTGCTCCAGAGGCTGGTGTAGTTTATACTGGTGTACAAATGCAGTGTAAACCCCACCAGTCCCAATGGGTTGCGTGCCAAGGTCTATGTCTCGCTCGTGCTGCTGCTGCATCTGTCTGTCCTGAACCTTTTTACAGAGCACACGCTTTCTGGACATACAGCACAAAGCAGTGGGGGGTATTTTAGTGTCCTTTATTCTGCCAGTTCTTTCTTCTCCTTGTAGCCCTAATACCAAAACTGGACTGAGGAAGGGCCTCCAGCTCCTGCACGCGCCAAGTCCAAGGGTTTTGGGATTATGCTGGGATTGCCACCTTGCCTGCCCAAACAGTAATGACTAAAAACCTCCAGTGAGGTGTCTGGAGCTCAACGCCAGGGAGAAGAGCCTCCTTTTCTTTTCTGCTTCCTTCCTCTACCTTTCCATGCATCCGATGCCAAAGAATCACAGAAAATGAGGACTGGAAGGGACCTCATGGGGTCACATCTAATCCAACCCCTTGCTCCAAGCAGGACCAGCCCCAGTTATATCGTCCCAGCCAAGGCTTTGTCTAGCCGGGGCTTATACACCTCCAAGGATGGAGACTCCACCACCTCTCTGGGTAACCTGTTCCAGTGCTTCACCACCCTCCTAGTGAGAAAGTTTTTCCTAATATCCAACCTCAACTTCCCTTGCTGCACCTTGAGCCCATTGCTCCTTGTTCTGTATCTGCCCCCACTGAGAACAGTCCAGCTCCATCCTCTTTGCAACCCCCCTGCAGGGAGGTGAAGGCTGCTACTCAATCCCCCCCTTGGTCTTCTCTTCTGCAGACTAAATAGCCCAATTCCCCCAGCCGCTCCTCATAAGTCATGTGCCCCAGCCCCCAAACCATTTTCATTGCCATGCATCCCCAAATACTGCACTTGACCAAATGTTTGCAAACGCTCCATCATGGAGGGATTAGATGCCAACGTGGCCCATCAAATATCCCTATTATGTCTCCTAGCACTTACTGGTATGTTTGGCCAGGTAGCTGAATCCCTCCGCAGGTACACAACCAAACACAGCAGAGCCTCCAAGACGCCTAGCAGGGACTTCACTATTGCTATTGCTCGTGCTTAGAAGACCCTCAGATATTCAAGTCATGAGCAGCTTAAAACCTGGAGACCAACAGAAATAACCAAGCTGTTGGGGTTTCAGTGCTTAATCAGGACAACTTCTCAACATGGAGAACAAGAAAGGTTTGTAACTGGAGAAGCAAGGCTCTGAAACAACTTTCCCTTTGCCCCAGAAGCAGCCAATACCCTACCTCACTTTATGGTGGAGCTTCCTCGGTTTCTAAATGATAACACAGTTGCCTGCAGTAGCACCATAATGGACTTAAGTGACCTCGGAGATCCCTTAGCTGGACTGACCCTGTATTCATTATTCATGCAAATGTCCTCACGAGAGATAAAGCGGCACTGGGAATATTGCAAGAAAAACAAAGTTTGGCCCCATGTGCCCTTGAATCCAAGAAGACTAAGCTCATCTGCATAAAAGGAAAATCCAGAGATCAGTGATGTATATATTATGAAAAGGAGGATGTTTCAGATGATCGCTCCACTTTCCTCTTGGTCCCTGTGCATGCTATCTCAATAGCTCTGCTGGAAGGCAAGGCCACACAGAAAAGGTCTTATCTTGTTATCTGTGTCCATTTTCAAAATCAGCGCTCTCTGAAATATATACGTTTGAATCTGCAATTCTCAGCTGTGAGAACGGCACCGTCAGCATGGTCTCACCGCATAGTGAAGAAGTGGGTCACTTGTTAAAGAGCTCTCTAGGGAGAGGTGATTGATCTCTTCCCTAAGTAAAGCACGCTGTATTTAACAGCTGTGGCGTTAGGCCGTCATAACTTGATATATGAATACTGCTTTCAAGAACAACAGCTTATCAAGGCGTTCTCAGCTCAGCGCAGGTTTAACCAAGGACCGAGTCCTTCTCATAGTAGAAATAAAGAGATGTTACTTGTTGCCACTATATATTTCCACTGTCGGTCTGCAGAGCACGATCCGAACTTTGTCATGCCCTCTTGCACGCTTCAAAGGTGCATTAGAGCCAAGAGTCCACCTCGAGCACAGCACGATGACCAGACGGATGAGAACGACATTCCCCCTGTCTTTTAAATTAGCCTTTTTCAGCCAGTCCTGTTTGATTTGCAGCGTCTCGTTCTGCGACAGGTCGAAGCCCCCCTGGGTAGTGCGGGGGCACAAAGACTCAACACCTGAAAGGCATTTGAGTGCTCATCTACCCAGGCCCCTTGCAGGATGGAGCCTTTAAACGCCAATGGCTGATGCTCTTTATTTGCAATACATACATTCCCCATGCTCTGGCTGCCCACTCCCAGATTCGAGGACTCAATCCTATTGCATTTACAAGACACGCTCTCCTGGCCTAGCTGCTACCCAGCAGGGAGTAGCAACAAGCCTGGCATCTCTGGCCTATCCATGAGCAGAACGGCAGGGTGACTCAGGAGAAAGCACAGCCGGACCGAACGTTCGGAAATCTGGCTCAGGAAGCTAAGACATGCAAGGGAAGTGATCACCTCCGGTGACACCAAAGGCCTCCAAAAGAGCATCTCCGCTCGGCTTCATTTCTGAAGAGCAGCTGAGTTAAAATCCACTCATGAAGGGGTCAGCCTAGGACTCTATATTCATTAAAGGGACTAAAACCCCTCTCTTTAGTATGGGCTTAACTGCAGGCACGGGCCTTTTATAGCTAACGAGGCTTCTTCAAAGGCTTAATGTTATGCACGTACTTAATTAAAGAGCTCAGCTGGACTGAGCCCTAACAATGCCAAGAAGAGAAGGAGTTAAATTGGATAGACTCATAGCCAAACCGTGTGATGTCACTGCTCGCCTGTGATGCGATATTTGTTTGGGAGGCAGCTCCCCAGGGCCCGCATCCGCCTCCATCCCTCGACTGCAAGGCTGTACGGAGATGCGCGGCTCAACGTAACGCAATACATAAGTACGCCCCTCCATGGGAAACGCGCTTGTTCCTGGCCCCCGCGAGAAAGCCAGGGAGGCCCTGACACCCGGGGGTGACTGGTGTCTCCGGGTGGATGAGGACATGCACCAGAGTGTCGTAGTGGGGAGCCTGTTCATCGGGCTGTGGGAGGGGGACATGCACACACACATACACACCCCCACGCAGAGGACACATACACATGGAGGACACATGTACACGGAGGACACACATGCATGCACACACAGATGAAACGCACACATGAAGGGCAAACACACACAGAAGACAAACACATGCATTCCCCCCCCCCGCCCATGCGGAGGACACATACACGTGGAGGACACATAAACAAATACACGGAGAACACACATGCGTGCAGATACAGAGGACACACACACGGAGGACAAACACATGCACACACATGTGGAGGGCACAAGCACATGCAGGGGACACATACACACACACAGAAGACAAACACATGTACACACATGGAGGACACACAAACACACACACACACATATGGGACACATACACAACCACCTGGAGGGGACACACATGCATACACCCATGGAGGACACACACGCACGCACGCACGCACACACACACGGAGGACAAACACATGCACATGGAGGACACGCACACACGCACGCGCGCAAGGAGGACATACACACGCACTCACACAGGGGCCACACATGGACATGCATGGAGAGTTCACACTCACAGACACACACACACGCACGCACTCCCTCCCCCCACTGCATGCTCTCAGGAAGGCCGCGCTCCCAGAGCCGCCGGGGCATCGCCCCTGCAGAAGCAGCCCCGAGGGCCGTCAGAAGCACCCCCTTGCCCTTCTCGCTCCCCCACGCCACCCCGTGCACTGCCTACACGTGTGCTCCACCACGGGGCTCTTTGCCTCCACACGTCCGCACGCGACACGGCGGGACGGCAGCGTTCCTGGAAAGCGTTTCCTGAGGGGCCGGGGCAGCTCTCCCACACCGCTGCGCGGGGGCTCCCGGGGGATCCGCACCATGTCTCTCTGCATCCCTGTCATTTCTGCCCTAGTTACCTCAGGCGGGGTTCAGCCACACAGACCCGGATTACCGGAGTGGGGACGCATGAAGCAGGGGGAGATGCTGCCCTGTGGCGGATCTGTGTGCAACCAAGCGGGCAGCCCTGGCTCTGCCTGCCCCCTCTCATGCCTCCATGCTCACCCAGGTCCCCAGGGCAGGCTCTCCCCACATTTGTGGGGGCCCTTGGCAGGCCCATCCCTCCCTGCCGCTTTCCCGGTCCAGCCCCGGGGGGGAAAGACGGACGGGGAACGCCGGTGCACCCCTTCCCCAGCACGGGCACACACCACCCCCTGGCAGAGGGCACGTGGGGACATGTCCCGATGGAGCCGTCCCCCATTGCAAGGCAGGGAGAGCACCAGATGCACAGCCAGAGCGAGGGCACGGGACCTCATCGAGTGGCAGACCCTTAGGGCGGACCCCGAAGCGCAGGATTTGGCCCTCAGGGGCCTGCCACGCACCGAGCCCCCCGCGGCCGGGCAGGGCAGGGCAGGGCAGGGCTCTCACCTTGTGAAGCTTCCACATGGCGCCCAGGGCCTTGACCTCGTGGCTGGAGTGCTTGCCCTCCTCCAGGCACTGGTAGCACACGGGCATCTTGCACTGCACGCAGTACATGCTGTGGTTCTCCAGCTCGTGATCCGTGCAGGTGGAGATCTTGCGGGGGCTCAGCCTCCTACTCACCCGGCCCTGCGCCGGCGGCACCAGGCGGTGTTTAGCGAGGGGGCCCCGGGGCGGGTGGCACCTCAGCCTGCAGGGATCGCAGTAGAAGACGTCGCACTGCTCGCACATCACCGTGGCCTCCTTGGGCGCCTTCTCGCACAGCTGGCAGCGCAGCGCGGCCGCCTTGCTCTGCTGGTAGCGGTCGATGACGCCCTCCAGCACCCGGTTCTTGGGGAAGCCGCGCAGCCCCCGCTCGTCCAGGATGAGGCTGCGGTGGCACTGCGGGCAGGTGATGCAGGCGTTGCGGGGCACGGGGGCCAGCGTGGCGGCC